AGCTGGACCATAAAGAAAGCTGACCGCCGTAGAATTGATGCTTTTGAGTTGTGGTGTGGGAGGAGACTCATGAGAGTCCCCTGGACTGCAAGGAGATCAAACCTCACCGTTCTGAAGGAAATCAACCCTGAGTGCTCACTGGAAGGACAGATCCTGAAGCTGAGGCTCCAATACTTTGGCTATCTCATGAGAAGAGAAGACACCCTGGAAAAGACCCTGATGTTGGGAAAGTGTGAAGGCAAGAGGAGAAGGGGTTGACAGAGGATGAGATGGTTTGACAGTATCATTAAATCTACCAACATGAATTTGACCAAACTCTGGGAGGGCCTGGCGTGCTCTGGTCCATGGGATCATGAAGAGTCAGACACACCTTAACAACTAAACAACAACAATAAATTTTACCTACTTTAGTAGACCATTTTCTATCCAAATTTCTGTCCCATGAGTAAATTGTTCTCCCCACTGTGAACACTTTAGGTCATGAAATCACTACTGATATTGCACTGATATGAAATTAGCGAACAGTATAATGTTAGTATCAGATCAGAATATCAAATGGGAGAAATAGGCCCTCAATAAATAAACATGGACACTGCCAGAAGAGATTAGAAGCAACTGAACTGGAAAAAAAGAGAAAAAGAACGAAGTATTGTTATCTGGAAAAATATACTCGGTAGCGATCTGTAACTCATACTATTGGCATAAGCTTTAAAAAAGAGTGAGTGGTTTCGCTTGGCTTTAAATTTAAGTTGTAAAGCAGATGTTGGTTCCTAGAGGTATTATACAAAATTAGGAAGCAGCTTAGATGAACACTGGTGAACCATTAAGAGTGAACCATGCAAAATTACTTAGATGGATCACTTGTGTCAATCATACATGGAAAGCAACCTTCTGAAGAGGAGAGGTTACCTTATCCACAAACATTCTCCGTGCAGTCAGGAATGGAAAGTAAGTGACAGAAAACTGGAGGGTGGGGTAAGAACTACGTCATTGACCCTGATCATGTAACTACCCACCTGGATTCCTAATGACTGTGAATATAGATAGCATGACAACGGAGACAAAATAATAAGAGTCCTCTACCATGTCTACAACAGCAGATAGACCTCCATCTAACTCACCACTGCCAAGTGAAACAAGCAAGAAATGGGTCCAGAGAATGAAGCCTACTGTATCCCTAATTTGCACTGTGGGAACATGCAGATTATAGACTACAAAACAGGGAAGAGTGGCCAACATTACATGAACAGGTGGTGAAGAAAGAACTCATTTACCCTTTCAGATACCATGAAAAGATAAATTCTGGGATAGCAGAATTAAAAATAAAATAACAGCTCCCTATTTCTTTGTAAACAGAGTCTTTGAATCAGCCACAAATTGAGTGTTTTCTTCTTCAAAACAATGCTTTTTGACTATTCCTTTTGTCTAGCTGGCAAAACAGACTGTGAAATAGGGACATCTAATGTCACCAATGGTACCATGGCTGACATGGGACCCGGCTCCTCCCAGCTGATGGTCCACTGTACCCATCAGTCCCCACACTAGCTCTCAAGCATGGTTTAAACAGAGTGTTAAATACCTGCTGCTTACATCAAACATTGTATACTATGGATCTAATATCCAATTCTTTTTCACTTTTGCCATTTACAACCATCACAGTCATATTCACATACCAAAATAAGTACTGTAAGTAAGTAGCTGAGTAAATTATTTGGATGGTATTCAACCATCACAAAAGGCACCCCACAATTAGAAGGGTACTGCTGCATATGATTAAATCTGCTATTTTCATAGTCTCTTTTCCTTGAGTATATTTTGGCTCTAATCTGTAGCCACTTCCTCTGGAGAAGCCCCAGTGACTTCTGTGGGAGTATCATTCTCTCAAGGATTGGGGGTGGGCAAGTATAAGGATTGTACCCCTTTGATTCTGAAATATAGATGTAATCATATTTGTGATAGATGACAGGGTATATTGTTGGAAAGGTACAAGAGAATGTTTGTTTTGATATTATGATTAAAATTGGACAGCATCTGAAGGAGAATGATATGAAATTAAAAACCACATGAAATGTAGTTGAGGCCACTGCTGATTTTGCTATATGTGTCTTCAACATAAATTGCCCTCTTCATTTCATCTTTAGGAAACATATTGATTGATTGGGAAAGGAGGAGATTTTTGTTTGTTTTGGTAAAAGCACAAGTTCTGTTTATTTAAAACAGGAGTTAGAAATACTTTTTCCTGTCAAGATTGCATTATCTCAGGTATAAAATGACAGAGGCTGAATTTTGGGACCTGAGGTGAGGGTAGGTGAGCCAGAGTTATTCTCACCTTCACCCAACAATGCCTTTATTCTACCACATGCTACATTTTTATTCCACTATAGACAAATACTTGTACATAGGACAAATACATGACAAAAGCAAAAACCAGAATCATCTTGCTCTGATATACATATCAGTCTAGGTGTGATTTTGATATATTATGGAGATAATCACAGACACAAGGACATTTTTTTAACTTCCCCTTGAACCCTAAACCTAAAAAAACACCCCTGGCTGTCAATAAAATTAGTGATTTAGGTTCCTGGTAGTCTGTTACTAAATAAACAACATAACCTTTACTGAAGGCAATATATTTTCCCCTATTCTATTCCACAATTTGGCATTAGTGTAAGTTCCAAATTGTTCAGAAGTGGCACATAATTATGACATATAAATGTTCTGGTTTTGTACCATTTTTTTTTAAAAAAATATTGCACACACTACTTATTTCAGTGGCTTGAAATTAGAGATAAGTTGTTACCATTAGCAGGAAGATAGGTGAAAAGTTGGTACTGGCTTCTCTTTCTCTTTCCATTGCAGACATAGAAATTAACTTGGACAGGACTTGTAATTCTCTGATTGCGGAATGGTGGAATCTCAATCACCAGTGAAGTCTGAAAGAACATGTTTAATAATGTCAAAAATAGAAGAATAATTTGATGAGTCAGTGGCTTAACCCAAAGGTCCATAAACTAATCACAGCCATGGACCATCATGAGACATAGACTTCTAAAGCTTAGCCAGGAGATTTCCTGCATGCTTAAATGTGAAGTATTTCTACAGAGAGCAATATGTTAGTTCATCTGGAGAAACGATTTTATCTTTTTATAGCTGTGCAACTAAGCCCCAAATGCATCAAGACTGCAGTTAACATGTCCATTTTTTTTTAAATTGGTGTGTGTCTCTAAGGCATTTCTTTTTAAGGGCATGGGGAAATGGTTTAAAATTGACTAGTGCAGCTATGGAATTTGCAGGCAAGAATTGTCGGGGAAAAGTTGCATATGCCTCTCATCCAACCCTTCTACTGGCTAGTCATCCCCATTCTGCTTCCGTTTTGCATTATTGGGGGGGGGGAGGACAATGGGAATCTCCTATTTTTTCCTCTTAATGCATAACTCCACACTGCCAAAAGCCTTTTTAATCATTTATCATAAATTTATTTATTTATTTATTTATTTATTTATTTATTTATTTAATTTATACCCCGCCTATCTGGCCCACCGGACCACTCTAGGCGGCTTCCAAATATAAAATCAAATAATAAAACATAGACAAATACATAATAATCAAACAAGAACAGCAGTAAAAATAAAAAGGAAAAGTAAGAAAAAATCAAGAGTTGGCTGGAGGGAAGGCCTGAATAAACAGCTATGTTTTTAATTGGGTCTTAAAGGTGCCCAAATCGTGGGTACTTGAAAAAGTCCGCACATTTCTGTGTACCTCTTATCATATAAGACTGGTGTATTATATCTCATTTACAGCAAGCTCAAAATCTATGAAATTTGAGATATCATGTGCCTTATACTGCACCTTCCCAGAGCTTGACATTGTTCAACTCCACTGAATGAGGACAGACCCCGGGAATCCTTTCCAATTCCCTATCATACAGGCTTTGTTTCCAAACTGTGCCAAGATGACTAAGCCATAGTTTTACACTGGCTCTATACAGGATACATATTCATGGTTCCACTTTCCATTACATGTTGTGACACTAAACAATGAATGCATATATTATTAGGGTTGTAAGTGTTCACTTATTTCATTCTTACTGGTGTGAAATGGGGGGAGAGAATAACATTTCTCCTGTTGGGTTATATCAGAATAGTTTTTCACATTTTGGCACTTTTTGCAAAAAAAAATGCACAACTGTTTTTGTGCAAAAAGAGAGAGAGTATATTCGTGAAGGCTTTCACGGCCGGAATCTAATGGTTGTTGTGGGTTCTTCGGGCTCTTTGGCCGTGTTCTGAAGGTTGTTCTTCCTAACGTTTTGCCAATCTCTGTGGCCGGCATCTTCAGAGGACAGCACTCTGTGCTCTGGTGTAGTTTGCTTGGGAGTGGAGTATTTATGACTGTGAGATAGGCTTTTGTCCTTTTCTGGAGATGGGTGATTAGTGTGTCTTGTTGTGGGTGTATTGTTGTGATAAGGAGCAGAGATTATCTGTCACTGTGATTGATGAGTGTCATTAGCTGGTCTTTTGTGTGTAGTGATCCCCTGTCCTTGTGGCTGGGTAGAGTTCGTTGACCTTTCGCACACTGTATTTTTCAGAGCTGGAAGCCAAGTTTTGTTGAGTTTCAAACTTTCCTCTTTTTTGTTGAAGTTCTGCTGGTGCTTGTGGATTTCAATGGCTTCCTTGTGCAGTCTGACGTAGTGATTGCTGGTATTGTCCAGTATTTCAGTGTTTTGAAATAGAATTTCATGTCCAGCTTGTTTTAGGGCATGTTCAGCTACTGCAGATTTTTCAGGTTGTTTTAGTCTGCAGTGTCTCTCATGTTCTTTGATTCTGGTGTGGATGCTTCGTTTTGTGGTTCCAATATATACCTGGCCACAACTGCAAGGTATCCGGTTTACTCCTGCAGTGGTGAGGGGGTCCCTTCTGTCCTTTGCTGACCACAACATTTGTTGTATTTTTGTGGTACTTTGCAGAGAAAATTTAGGTTAATGTCTAATTTAAATTATTCTGTGGGCAGAGACAATTCCAGATGTTGATTCAGCTAATTGGCAAGGTGGTTGCTCCATGCCTGCATGTTTGATTGACAAAGAATTAGCAAGCAGTTCACCAATAAGCCAAATCATCTTCCATGGTTATCAATGCATGTGTGATAATTTGCAGTGGGATACCGGACCTGGTATTTTGCCTAGAGAACCTTGTATTTGAAGCAAAATCTATTTTTTGCCATTGCTGTTCAAAATAGTGCTGGTCTTTTTTGCTCTTATGGAGTGAAAAGTGTTACAAAGGTGGCCCACATCTTCAAGAGAAGTGAGAAAAATTATGATAATTCATTATATGCTCATGCATTATCTACTGAAAACAAATGCCTTTTTAAATTGCCTTCTTTCCCCAATCTATGATGACGCAGCCAGCTGGTGCCCTTGCTGGTAGTCACTCAAGAATACTATCAACCCAAGTGCCTGCTATATTCATCCACCTTAGGTCTTGACAGTGATGAATCTTAATAGAAGTGATAACAGGATATTTTTATTAGCACATGGAAAAAGGTAGATATATTAATGAACTCCCATCTCTTCTACACATAAAATAATATAGGGCCATTAAGAATAAATAAATAAATGATTGCTCTGTAAGATGAACACTCAAGGTTGACTTACCAACAATATAAAAATGTAAAAATAATAATTAATTCTTGCAATTTTGTTTGAATCAAAATGGACTCTCTCTTGTTTGAAAAGACAAAAGGTCTTCCAGGAGATTTTAGCACTGAGTAGACTAAGGATGTAACAAATCCTCTCCATTTTGTTTCATTCTTGAAGGGGAAAAAAAGGTTCCTAATATATCAAAACACCCTGTCAAAAATTATTGGCAGCTGCAAGACCTTTTGCTCTTGCATGATTGTAGAAAGACCAAAGCTCTTTTTTGCCAACAGCTGCATTCACAAGAACCTGTAGGCAGGTTATTCCACACACTTATTTTGCACAAAAGCATCATATTTCATATTTCCACAAAATTTCAGAGCAAAATATAAGGGTTTTTAAAAATGTAAAATGCACATTTATTTGCACACAAACTTCTATAGAAACAAAATCTGGAAATATGAAAAATGCACGAAAAGTCTGCTCTTCTCACACAGAGGGGATAAATTTTTGAGATTTCAGTTTTTATCTGCAAGAAGGAAATAAGTGAAGATTTACATCTGTAGACTCGAGGACAACCTGTTTTTTTTTTTGCTGTGTACATTAACATATACATGTATAAAGCATGATATCTGAATGTCTAATCACTCAGTGTATCATAACTGAATGAACAGGCATCAATAAAAAGAGAATAGGAAAAAACAGGCAAGTAGTATCTCTTATGTAGCAATTCAGCAACATTTATGATGAGGTCAAGGTCCTTGAACCGAGCAGAGCTGGGGTCATAATAGCCTTCTGAAAGCTGAGTGGACATAAACCTCTCAGAGGTCTTATTCAGGGGGTATGACTCTCCCACTGGAAGCAGAATTCGAACCACTGATCCATATAGCCTTGGACCTGCTGAATCCAAGGTCTTTCTGCAATTCCATGAAGCCTTTGCGGTGATCCCCTGCCCACAACAACATCTGCCCTTCCATTAGAAACAACTGGAGGGGAAATGGAAGAAGCAAAGGCAAGCAATGAAAAAAAAAAGGGGTTGTATCTGGCCAATGTACCACCAGCTGTCCTGACCAACAGTAGTTTGGAAACAGTAGATGATCACACTATTTCATTTCTCCTGCCAAATAGTCTCCATTAGGACTAGTTTGTTAAAAATGCTTCACATTTGGTTTGCTTTGAGAAACCTCTTACATTTAGTTTAATGGCGGACAAGTATTAATTAAAAAAAAATAAACTGGCCGGACAGTTCAATAAATTAGGTATCTGGCGGTGGAGTCTGAGGTTGGGAGTTTGATTCCTCGCTATGCCTACTGTGAGTAGAACTGACCTGTGTGGGCTGTGCACAAGCTGCACAGTCCCAGGGCGCCCCCAAAAGAAGCAGATGGTAAACCACTTCTGAATATTCTCTACCTGGAAAACCCTTAAAAGTGTCGTCATGAGTCAGAATTTACTTGAAGTCACATGATTATTATTATTAAGCACAAAATAATCTACAAAAGATGGAACCACGTTCACTGAAACCCCTGCTTTAGGTACCATCAATTGATTTTTCTTCTCGCCTATATGAGTCATGACTTGATATTTCAGTCTGAATGATGGAAACACATACATTGGCGCATGTGCAGAAAAATAGTATTTCTCATACTTACTGGCTTACACAAGTCTTTGTCAGTCTTGGCTTCCATTTCCCACACGTGATGACCATCTAAAAGACAAGATCAAGAAAAGACAACATTCAGTTCTACTCCTTTATTCAGAACACAGGCAAACTAGAAATGGGAAAGGGTATCATCATTTCTAAGGCACTATCTATAAATTATCTCTTACACACACATATACATTAAACAAATCTCAACAGAACTTGCTTCTTCTCACTTTTTTGAGCTTCCCCTTCTCCAACGCAATCATGCTTTTCAAAGGGAACCCATTCTCCCAATTTAGATGTCATCAAGTGTATACGTAAACTGCTGGATAGCTCAGTGGTTTAGTATCTGGCTGCAGAGCCAGAGGTTGGTAGTTCAATTCCCCAATGTGTCTCCTTTGCAGGGGCTGGCCCTGATGATCCATAGTCTTTTCCAGCTCTGCAGTTCAAATATTCTTCTTCTTATATTATGAAATTAGCAATTTTTTCCCTTCCTTTTCCAACTGTTCATAGCTTCTAACACTTGTGTAAAATACAATGTGAGTATTACACCTCTTTCAAGTTCTTACTGGATTTGGAACTCAACTTCCACCCACCACCCTACTTATTTAAGACTTCAGTGCTAGATTTAAATTGGGGAGACCCCACATTCCTCAAATCCTACCAAGCCATAAAGACCTCAAATTCCTACCCACCCATAAAAAATTTAGTGGGGTAACCTTGGGTTAGTCATGACCTTTCAAAGCAATTCTTTGTTCCAGAGTGGTTGAAATGAAAAAAAAAAAAGAAGAAGTGGGGAGGACATACAGAAGAATTATGTATGCTGGCCTGAACTCCATGAGAGTATAGCAGGAGGAAAATGTGGTAAGTTGAAGAACCTACACTTGTAAGAGTATGTTCCTTTCACATTTGTAAATGAATTACCAGAACTTCATGCTGTTTGTATGTTTAATCCATTCTGGAAGATGAATGACTTGAACTGGGATTCTACTTTTCAGTTCCTGCCAACGTTTAGAAAAGTCATCACATTTTTCAATTAATTTTTACAGAGCTACTGCTGTGTTTTCTTTCTTTTTCTTTTCTTTTTTTCGGTTTTTAGGCTAACTCTATGTGTGGGTGTGTACAGAAGGTTTCACAAAAGTCATTTAAGTGTTACACTATAAATTATTCTTTAGAAAGTAGTGTCCAAGAATAGCATAGGCCTACTCTTGTATTTGAGACCCTGGTTATCAAAAAGTAACAAGAGTTACTGTTGCTTCAGTACTGCATTCTCTTGAGAAAATCCAGACTTTTTCTGCTATAGAAAAGGAGAAGGGAACAGATGACTCAATAAGAGTTAGTGACATTTCATTTAACAAAAACATAAGGAGGAGAAATTGTTATGAAGCAGAGACCAAAAAGGAAAAGAAAAAAAGAAAAAGAAAAAGAAAAGACAGACAATTCCTCATGTTACGTCTGGTGAACCAAGAGGGAAATCTCTACACCCACGGACTGGGATTTACTCCAGCTGAGAAACCTTAGACCACTACGTCAACTTCTTACAGTAAACATGTTTTGTAGGTTTATATAGATCAGCTAATTTTTTTTCCTTAAAAAAAGATGGGAAAGGAGGGAATAATTTTTAAGGCATCTTCAAATGCTAAAAGATTTGCTTATACTGGAGAAAAAGATCTTATGTCAGTAGAACAGTTGCCAAGTATTCTACCCAAGTATGCTAGATGCCGTCTCCAGTCAGAATGTGCCGGAGGAGTGAGGAGTGATACACCACAAAAGTTTCCATTGTAAGGCTGCCACATCTGCATCAGCCTGGCTGACTCACAGCCGAAGGCAACTCCCTGACTGGCTGGAGTCCAATGAAAGTACACCAGAGCAATTTATATCTTTCCAAAATGCAAATAATTCAAATTACAGACATAACATAAAGTTGAAACAGACATATTTCAGGCATTCCCTTTAAAGATGAACTCAATGAAGTGATTCTCCCCAAATGGATTGTATTGCTTTTGTTTACCATGTATGTGAAATGAGAAACAATGACAACAACAATAATAAACTAGCAAACCACCCACATTTGATTCTCCTATTCTACAGTATGCTCTGAATATTTTAAGGCACGATACATACTGTGTCTTTAGTGAAGGGTTACATCCCATATTGGAGCAATTTGTCTAACAACTATCCCTCTTAAAAACTGACAGAATATATTGTCTATGTATGTATGTATGTATGTATGTATGTATGTATGTATGTATGTATGTATGTATGTATGTATGTAGGTAGGTAGGTAGGTAGGTAGGTAGGTAGGTAGGTAGGTAGGTAGGTAGGTAGGTAGGTAGGTAGGTAGGTAGGTAGGTAGGTAGGTAGGTAGGTAGGTAGGTAGGTAGGTAGGTAGGTAGGTAGGTAGGTAGGTAGGTAGGTAGGTAGGTAGGTAGGTAGGTAGGTAGGTAGGTAGGTAGGTAGGTAGGTAGGTAGGTAGGTAGGTAGGTAGGTAGGTAGGTAGGTAGGTAGGTAGGTAGGTAGGTAGGTAGGTAGGTAGGTAGGTAGGTAGGTAGGTAGGTAGGTAGGTAGGTAGGTAGGTAGGTAGGTAGGTAGGTAGGTAGGTAGGTAGGTAGGTAGGTAGGTAGGTAGGTAGGTAGGTAGGTAGGTAGGTAGGTAGGTAGGTAGGTAGGTAGGTAGGTAGGTAGGTAGGTAGGTAGGTAGGTAGTAGAACTGATTCTCCAGTTCAGAAACAGTTTAAGAACTTTGCATTTTGTCTCAGTGATGGCTTTCGTGTTGATAGGATATTAGAAGCAACTGCAATTAACTTCTTCAAATACAGTACACACTTCTATATTGCTCTGGAGAACATCCGTGCTATAGAGAAACATGACTACTGTTGTACTTGAAGCAAATGTGTAGATTCCACAGATAAAAACTATTGCCTAGCAGAAGCAAAGCAAAACACCATGGCTAACTTTTTCTTGCTGCAGGACAGAGAAGAATGTATCTACAGATGAACAGAGGTAAATTAAGTCATCCTTTAGGGACTTTGGATGGTGTTTTTCACATGAAGGCAAAAAGGTTCTTTCTGAAAACCTGGAATCTGAAAATAGGGGTGGGTAATTCTGCACACCTACCTCATTACTATACAGGCTGTTTTTGAATTGCTAAAAATATAAACAGAAATGAAACGGCTCAGCACAGAATGGATCTTGTGTGAGTCGCTCTGTATCAACTGTTCTCTGCAGAGTTAAAAGGAAACTGCAGAAGTAAAAAAAAATTCTAAATCCATTAGGGAATTCCCTGCAGTATGAGTCATAGAAATGGCTTCCCCACCACACCCATCAAGAAGATTTTCACATAAAAAAGGCATTGTGGGCTTGTTCTAACACAGCACAAGCAAAAGGAAAAATACTTTTTTGTAAATCTCACCACCTTGGTTATTTCCATGTAGTAGAAATATTATTGTTGGTTATTAAACTCAGTATTTTTCTTTCTGTGATGTGAGGGGAGGTTTGTGTGCATCTAACAGGACTTGGAAAACTCACTTTTTAAAACAATCTATCAGTTAGCATGCCATGCCTGAGAATTCTGGGAGCCATAGTTCAAAACACTAAGGTTTCCAGACAGCTACCTATATAGAGATATATTTCTATATAAATGTATGACTGGATGCAAGTATACCCCCTTGTGTCATGCAGCCTCTTTGGTTTGACATTTTCCACTCCTCGTCTAAGTGATTAAAATGCTTTAAACAAAGGTTTCACCATAAATAAATTACATTCTTAATGAATTGATGATGCTGCAGTTAATCTGTATTACCATATTTATTGCATATCATTATCATAAGCCATGCATTCTCCTATCCTATCCTCAGCATAACTCACACTAGGTCATTATCCCATATACTGGTAGGGAAGAGTATTGGAGAGAAGTAAATCATCTGCTAAGCCTACCAAATTAATACATAGGTAAGCTGTGATTTGAACTCTGGACTTCTAGGAAATGTTCACAGAACCACACTACTTGGGTTCCCTTGCTCTTGGGGTCTCTCTATAACTTTTATGCCCCCCCAAGATAGTTACAAAGCATAATCAACTGATTAACACACCCATACACACACGGGGGGGGGGAGGAAGAGAACACTTCTGTCTACCATGGTTCTCTTCCATAGCGCTGACAATCCTTTCTATACAGTACCATGTGTAATGAGCCTTAAAGGCTCTTATGACCCCCTGATCTAGAGGCTGAACTAGAGATGTTGTGTTTGGGGGCAAGCAGACTCCCTTTGACGACTTTGGTGTTGAACTCATGCCCCTGGTTCTGGGTGGCCAGAGATACAGTATTTATTGAACATTGATCAATTAATTAAGATACTGATTGATTGACTGAAGAAAAAGTCAGTGTATAACCAAAACCATACTGTTCAGAACCATCCAATTCAAGGGAGAAGTGCAGTTGAAATATGCTAGCAAGTCACTGCTGGGTTCACAGAGTCTTAGAATCTAATCTAATCCACTTGTGAACCTGCTGATGTTCTGCTTTGTGTAACTCCCTTCCTAGAAAGGTGTGCCAAGCTCCTTCCCGTTTCAAGTTCATGTAGTTATTTAAAACACATCTATTTAAGCAAACAGACAATGATTCACAGCTGTTCTTTCCTTGAACAGTTTAATTCATTTTACCTTGCTTCTGCTAGACCACATGCACAGATGTGATCTATACTACAAGCAGTGTATTTCATGTTTTTATTGTGCTTTCATGAACTGCTGCTTACATGTTTTTGACATTTATATGCAGCCACTGCAAAAGACTACAAGAAGAGGCAGGGAGGATTGGTGGGCTACTAACTAGACCTCTGGTGTCAGCATCAACTACATATCCATTTCAACTCAGGGTGCACATAATTATCTCCATTAAAATGGCTACAGGCAGTTTTATTCAGAAAATTAATCTTTCATGCACAGGTACTGTATTTCTGGAAGGAGCCAAGTTTGTTTTAAATAGGATAGATCACATCTGCACATGTGGGAAGACTTCACTATGCATTTATTTGAAAGGAGACAGCTCCCTTCCAAAGCTCTTCA